ATGGTTAACACGATAGATGATGGATCAGAACTTTGCTACGTCCGTTCGAAATGCTTCCCCTCAATGAAACAGGGAAAATACATTCACTGTCTCTTGTTTACGAAGGAAAAGCCATTCCACATTTCCCAGGCCAGCTGTACTTGTCCAGCCGGGTAAGTATAACAACTAAGTGTTTGTATATCATTACAGTTCTCTGCCACGTACGTCTAGAGCTCTAAATTTGTCAAAAACATTTTGTTTAATAATCTTAAAAAATATGATTTAAAATAGTAAAATTATCAAATTCCACACGTATATATAACGAATTGCGCCGGACGCGCGTTTCATCCTCAGAGACCCATCATGCAGCAACACACTTATTGTAAATCAATTACAGAAGATGAAAAGTATTTATTCAGGGGTGGATCCAGCCATATTTCAAGTTCAACTGGTATAAGAAAAGGGGTCTGGACAAAATGTCTCCATTCAAATTTTGAAAAATGAGGAGCATATGTACTTCTATCTTCTTACTTATATTAAGACCCACTTACAAAAATCAGTAACAAAACAAAAAACGCACACCAGCAAACAAGTCATAAAACATATATATAACTTCCTAGCAATAAAGGAAGGAAAAACACAGCATATAAGCCTGCAATTTCCTATGGAAAGACAGGCTCTAAAACACACCACCACCAACAACAATGTGCATGTTTGTTTTGGAAATAAATATTTTTTCTCTACATACTAATAAAAAAATTTGACAGCAAAGGATGAGAAAATAAATATCTGATAAAAATTTGCCAACAAAACTAATTCTTATTTGAAAAAAAGGTTATCTCGCTTCAACACACTAAATTAATTCCTTACAAGAAATAAACATTACCCCCCTTTTTCTAGTTTAATAGTCGGTCCGTAAATCTTAGGACGGTACGCACATAAAATGAGGCCATTTGGGGGCAACACTAACAATTTGTAGGCATATTCCACTTTTTTTAAAACATTGTTTTTTCTTCAGATTAGATGAAGGCTGCACTCACATCTCCGGTCTTTGATTTGCCCTTGAAGCTATTGCAAATAAGTTGGACGAAGTCCCGTGTACATCAACGCAGTGCGATTGGAGTAAGGTCGGAAAGAGGAAAAAAGAGCCGAAAGAAGTGACGGAAATCAAGTTTAAAAGACTTAAATTCGGGGTTATTTGAATCCACTTGTCCTCCCTGGTCTTATTTCAATATTTAATTCCATTCAGATCCAACCATTCTAAGTAGTGTCAAATAACATGTATGTAACTGTGACCAAATAATACTATCTACAAGTATACATACTCCTGTATGTAGGAATATATATTCATACATGTACATGTACTCAACAGACTGTCTTGTAATGACAACTCCCATACTTTTTTAAACTGTGAAATCATTTACCTGGTACCATGAGGTCATGCAGGGTGACATCAAAAGATCAATGTAGCTTTATTGTAGGATACAAAATTCCAATGGCCATCTAGTAAACTGAGTAATATATTATAGTTCTATGTGTATGAAACTATTTCTGTGTTGTTACAAAACTAGTTCCATATTTTTGCATAAAATATTCTTTTACATATTTATTTTCAACTTTGTTATATTTTTATGCAATGCTATCGCCAGTTTATACGGAGATATAACTTTTATAAAGAAAAGTACATTCATGATATAATGGTTAACACGATAGATGATGGATCAGAACTTTGCTACGTCCGTTCGAAATGCTTCCCCTCAATGAAACAGGGAAAATACATTCAATGGCTCTTGTTTACGAAGGAAAAGCCATTCCACATTTCCCAGGCCAGCTGTACTTGTCCAGCCGGGTAAGTATAACAACTAAGTGTTTGTATATCATTACAGTTCTCTGCCACGTACGTCTAGAGCTCTAAATTTGTCAAAAACATTTTGTTTAATAATCTTAAAAAATATGATTTAAAATAGTAAAATTATCAAATTCCACACGTATATATAACGAATTGCGCCGGACGCGCGTTTCATCCTCAGAGACCATTCATGCAGCAACACACTTATTGTAAATCAATTACAGAAGATGAAAAGTATTTATTCAGGGGTGGATCCAGCCACATTTCAAGTTCAACTGGTATAAGAAAAGGGGTCTGGACAAAATGTCTCCATTCAAATTTTGAAAAATGAGGAGCATATGTACTTCTATCTTCTTACTTATATTAAGACCCACTTACAAAAATCAGTAACAAAACAAAAAACGCACACCAGCAAACAAGTCATAAAACATATATATAACTTCCTAGCAATAAAGGAAGGAAAAACACAGCATATAAGCCTGCAATTTCCTATGGAAAGACAGGCTCTAAAACACACCACCACCAACAACAATGTGCATGTTTGTTTTGGAAATAAATATTTTTTCTCTACATACTAATAAAAAAATTTGACAGCAAAGGATGAGAAAATAAATATCTGATAAAAATTTGCCAACAAAACTAATTCTTATTTGAAAAAAAGGTTATCTCGCTTCAACACACTAAATTAATTCCTTACAAGAAATAAACATTACCCCCCTTTTTCTAGTTTAATAGTCGGTCCGTAAATCTTAGGACGGTACGCACATAAAATGAGGCCATTTGGGGGGCAACACTAACAATTTGTAGGCATATTCCACTTTTTTTAAAACATTGTTTTTTCTTCAGATTAGATGAAGGCTGCACTCACATCTCCGGTCTTTGATTTGCCCTTGAAGCTATTGCAAATAAGTTGGACGAAGTCCCGTGTACATCAACGCAGTGCGATTGGAGTAAGGTCGGAAAGAGGAAAAAAGAGCCGAAAGAAGTGACGGAAATCAAGTTTAAAAGACTTAAATTCGGGGAGGATTCCTGTATTCAAAATAAAAAAAAAATCGAAATTAATCAAACCTCTAATGATTTCTTCATCTCATTGATTTCTAAACTCGGGAGCTCTGAAACCGCAAATCCAGTATTGTTAGATTTGATACCCCCGCCTTCTAATAATGTCGATGTGTCGGATGATTTAAATGTTGCAAGATTTGAAGAGGTTTCAACATCGGAATTTATTATAAAGGAATCTGACAAATATATGGATATGGATCTATCGCCAAAAAAAGAAAATCTCCACAAAAATGAGCTAATTGAAAAATTTTCCAATATTCCAAAAGAAACGTTGTAGGTATCGAAACAAGAACAATTGGACAAAATACAAACCCACTTTGGCAATCCGCGCGACATTTCAGAATTACAAATTCGAATTTCCACGCAAACGTAACGAGAAAAAAGAAAATGTTGACAAACTTTTAGAACAGTTTTCAAATAAACGTAAAAGCTTTGATACTCCTGCTTTGGAAAAGGGAAGGAAACGGGAGGCTATTGCTAGGAAAAAATATATCGCCTAAAAAAGTTGAAGTATAACGAAAATGTTAGTGTTCGTGAATGCGGTCTCTTTCTTGATGAATCATGCAGCTATTTGGGAGCAAGTCCAGATGGCATTGTAACCAATAGAACAGATACGTGTCGCCCTTGGGTCTTGGAGATCAAATGCCCGTATAAATGGCGCTTTAAATCAAATCGAGATGCTCGAGAGAATGTGACTTCTTCTGTGAAATCGACGAGGATAGTGAAATTCGGTTAAAAAGGTCACATAAATATTTCGCACAAGTACAAGGCCAAATAGCAATATGTCAGTCAATGAAGTGTAATTTCGTTAATATATATTGTTTGAAAGACTTTCAAATATTAGAGATCGAGTTTGGCAAGACTACTGGTCTAAAAAAAAGCCAATACTGAACAAATTTTACACAACACACATGACAGCTTTCATTATTAAAGCATCTAAAGCTGTCAACTGTGTTTCCTGAATATGAAAAGGTGTAAACACTTGCACAATTCTTAACAGATCGGGGTTATTTGAATCCACTTGTCCTCCCTGGTCTTTTTTCAATATTTAATTCCATTCAGATCCAACCATTCTAAGTAGTGTCAAATAACATGTATGTAACTGTGACCAAATAATACTATCTACAAGTATACATACTCCTGTATGTAGGAATATATATTCATACATGTACATGTACTCAACAGACTGTCTTGTAATGACAACTCCCATACTTTTTTAAACTGTGAAATCATTTACCTGGTACCATGAGGTCATGCAGGGTGACATCAAAAGATCAATGTAGCTTTATTGTAGGATACAAAATTCCAATGGCCATCTAGTAAACTGAGTAATATATTATAGTTCTATGTGTATGAAACTATTTCTGTGTTGTTACAAAACTAGTTCCATATTTTTGCATAAAATATTCTTTTACATATTTATTTTCAACTTTGTTATATTTTTCCCAGAAACTCAGAAACAGGCCACATATTTGTTTTTCGTTCATTATTTGTACATAAATTATGCCGTTAGTTTTCTCGTTTGAATTGTTTTACATTGTCATTTCGGGGCATTTTATAGCTGACTGTGCAGTATGGGATTTGCTCATTGTTGAAGGCCGTACGTTGACCTATTATATAGTTGTCAATTTCTGTGTCATTTGGTCTCTTGTGGAGAGTTGTCTCATTGGCAATCATACCACATCTTCTTTTTTTATACAAACAGAAAAGTATGTGTGTTATTTATCAGTTGTCTTGTTTTGGTCACTGGTGTATCCTTGTCTAAGGGAGCTACCATTTGATTTCTATGGGGGAGGTGGGCTAGGATGAAATTAAAAAAAAAGGGAGGACAGGAGTTTTGAGTAAAAAAAAAAGGCAGGATGAGCTACTTGGCAAAAAAAAAAGGGCAGGATGACAATTTATGTAAAAAAGAAATAGGATAAACCAATAAAAAAAAGTCAGGACCGAATAGAGTGAAAAATAAAAAAGCAGGACAGAGATAACAACTAAAAAAAAATGCAGGACAAAATTTTGCATCTTAGCATTGTTGCTAAAGGTGGCATAAAAACTGTAGATCGTAATCCTTGATCCATGATAGTGATCCAAGAGTTGAAAATTCTAGAAATTCTACCAGCAGAAAACTTGAATCTAAATTCCAAATCATTTAATAGTAAGCCAAGTCTTAGTCTCATGAGAACCATAAGAAACTCATCCACCAGTCTTAGTTTACGATTTGATGGTTTTCGCATTAATGTCCCATTTTCAACATCCATTCGGTCTGCACCAATCTTGAGAAGACTCTCATATAATGCAAAAAATGTATTATAGTTTACAAGACCAGTATAAAACAGGTCTTGATCGGTTGAATCTCTGATGTCCTCTATAGTAATTTCTGGACGGCAAACTTGCATGCTTTCACTAATTGATGTGTGACTGGATAGTTCAGTGTTTTCATGGGGGGGGGGGGGGGGGGGGGTATTGTTACTTGGTCACTGGATGTTGGAGAGTATCTAAAAAAGAGAAAACGAAAATAAACTGTCTGATTTTTTCTCAGTATATCTGGAATTACATTATCTTTTTTATTACAAGGCCGCAAAATTATTTACAAGAACAAAACCGTGTTCTTTCTAAAGTCGTTGGATAATTGACTATTATCCATTCTTCTGACAGTAACTAAGCTAAACAACTTCATCTTAAAATTTTAATGCTTTAAATATACTGTTTTTGTATGAACTTTTTGATGTACTGATATGAGTAATGCTAAAATTTGGTAATCAGTTAACTGTTATATTAAATACTTTTGGGTAATGATCTCATGATGTCATTTCTGTCAGTTTCTATTTTGATGCACTGTTAAAAATACTGTGGAAGCCTGAAAGGCCAAAACAGTGAAACATTTTGGTAATTTTTGGAGGGCTCCTGCTTTATCGATTTTTACTTTGATACTTTTTCATAAAAATGTAAAAGCAGCTCTGTGCAAATATCTAAAACAAAATGCAATACCTTTCTTCAACCATCAAAACATCATTGGATATCCTTCCTCTGTTCTGGTCATTTGAATTACTGAAAAAAAAAACATCAAAAAATTAATTAAAGCATTACATGTGTGTTATATATACAATCAAAACTAAAACCAAAATGGTCTTATTCTTGTCGGGTATTCAGCTATTTGGAACCAGACCTGACATAATGAATGCAGACACTAGTATTAATGTGTGAATAAGGTAGGCAGTTAAAAAAAATACGATGAAACCAGATTAACCTGCCTTAAGGAGGTTATAAAATATTTTGAGTCTTATTATTACAAGGAAATAATTGTTAAATCACATATAATAATTGCAAATATTAATAATGAACAGTGGCTAGGCTTCCTGACTGGTCAAATCAAAGTATACAAAGACATAATATTGCATGAAGGTGTGGACAAGATTTACAGAATAAAGGACAATGGGCACCCAAAAAATGAGGAATATGTAAAATAAAGGGGTGCCAAAAAATTAAATATAAAGTGCTGTCAAAAAATAAAGAAATGGATAAAATTATACTGATTGCAGATAAAAAGAATGTGGAGATACAGAAGTCGAGTAATTACAGAAAAGCTAATCTTTTTAAAGATACAAAATACAGAAATGAAGGATCATCCATATCCTCATAATGTACTTTGAACATGTATTAATGATCACAAAATGATAATTTACGTTGAATGTTATTAACATATGATGAATAATGTTATTTCATATGAAGCCAATTTTCTTCTTACCAATCATTTGATAAATTTTCCTCTTTTCTAAAATCTTTCCCCACTTCAGATATATGTAGTTCTGATGCTGAATCTATATCAGGGACATTCGTCTTGGAATAACTGAAAAGATAAAATACATGTATTATTTGAAATATGCTGTCCTTAAACATGTCAAAAAGAAATATCACACACACACACACACACACCAGAATTTTCAAATAACACCATGGAAATTAACTGTTTTGAAAACAGAGATGGTTTTCAAAAAAAATATAGCACCATGTCCCTATAGATAATAACTATTATAAAATTATCCAAGACAGCACCAGCGGCAGAGTAAAAATAATAGCCCCATGATACCACAGTGATATAAAGCCTTAGGGAGAATGCTGCTCCCCCTGAATCCCCACAAAACTATTAGATATGGCTCTGATGCTCTGGTTCAATGGTGTCTTGCCATTCACATATGATTATTTAAAGTGTATCTACAAGACACAAAAGTTATCCCGGCCTGAAAAAATTGACGAAGTCTAACTAGCCGTCATTAACAGGAAACACATAATATATGGTCTATGCACGATGTAGGCCTCAGCTCCAGATTTATTTGTGTATGCATTTAGTGAGTTAGTGATGTCTTCGTGCAATTAACCCATATATTCTTTTTCATATCTTCTTACTGGTGTTTTCAAACAACAGATTGATTGATTGATTGATTGTTGGTTTATAAAACCCTTTCAACAACAGAGGTCATATCATGACAAAAAGCATTTAATAAATTGAACCAAAATTCAAACAAAAAATTAGAACTGATGCGTTCAGCATTGAGGTCTGTGTTTAAATCAAAATGTATATTCCATATAATCATATTCAAGAACAAGGCATACATTTTGCAGAATTCTTTGGAAAGAAAGACACAATTTAAAATCTTCCGAGTGAATATCATTTTCGAAGATTCCTGGATCTGTGTTTGTGACCTCCATGGTTTCATTCCCATCTTCAATACCAAGACTACTGAACCAAAACCGATCTTTGTTGCTATTAGCGAATTTTCTGTGTTTTGAGTCTGGTGTCATCTTCTGTGGCAGGAACAAAGTTGGAACCTTATGGCACCAAATCTTGCATCTACCACCTGGGAAGTGATCAGAGCAAACCTGCAAACAGAAAACAATAGATATATCACTTGATGAAATAAGAAAACAAGACAATGGCCAAAATACAGTAAAAACAAACTGCATTTAACAAGTCTTGGCACAAACCACACACAATGTTCAAGTATTATAACATCTGTATTATATTATATTACAGTATCTTTTTCGTGCAATGTGCATTTTTTCATAATTTAAGATGATACATGCAAGACCTGTACAACTGTATTCATTGTGATAAAACTGTTTTCAGGCTATTTTATTTTCGTCAACAAAAAAAAATCATACTTCTTGGACCAGTCACCAATTTTGTCTACATCTATTTCTTATCAAGCACATCAAAAAGACCCCTCTCATATGTGAATTCAAAGATCTATATTTCATGAATTTTTCAATTAATGTACAAAACCCATAAATTAATCAATAATTGTTGTGTTCATTAGACATGTTAAATGTGACAATGAGATAAGGTAATTACTGTAATTAAATTGAAGGGTGATCCAATGTACAAGGTTCTCACCAAGGCGAGTCCATGAGTCCTGGACTCATAAAAATCTGTCTGGACTCACCATTTTCAAAAGTGGTGAGTCCAAAGATGCATCAAGATTAAAATATTTTGTATAAACTGAACACACATATCATCATTTTATAGCAAAAGTTTAAAAGAAATCTGAATTTAATGTTATTTCATTGCTCTATTATAATTAGGTCATGAAGACTAAAATGATAATTTATTTTGCAATAAAATAAAATATTTTCTTCCTACTGTTGGACTCACCATGGCCAAAAATGACGAGTTTCTGCCATATAATTGCCTCCTTCACCATGCAATGATGAATATCGTGTAAAGAGCACATAAGAGGCATGATCCATATAAACAGCACATACATACATACATACAGACAATCAAATAGCAGTATAGAATATACAATATAGTCTTACAATAAACAAGTATAATAAAATATTCTACAATGTTTCAAGATATAAAATTTTCATAAACATCTTGTACAGGAATGCGTTCCCATAGTTCACACGAGAGGTCACCAGAGAGCATTCTAACGTTTTGCATGTTTCTTCTGTAATAAATTGACGAACTCGTCTAATGTGGCTGATCTAATCAAAACAGGATTTCAACACGGCACTTATTTGTTTTTCCATTGTCAATTTTTTACCGAAATAAATACCTGGGTTTCTAGTGCACTTATCATCCCTGACAATGTTTCCACCATTATGTGTAATATTTTAGTCATAGCGGTCATCAAAGCTCCTATCACGATCACATTTTGGAAGATGATCTTACATTCATACGATGGTAATGTTTTGGGCCGTCACTACGCTTGGATCTTAAGCTAGCGTTAAATAAACTCATTACATCAACATCACTGCAGACTAAACTTTCCTACACCTTTTATGTTATCAATGCAACCGTATGGCATTGCAGTGCTTTAATTCATTATCCAACAGTTTTCTCTACTCTGTTAAAAGGTGGACCTAAGATAGGGCTATAATTATGGTGGTACATTTTCTCAATGATGCTTACTTTCATGGATAAAGAAGGACCATGGTCTCGTTGATAAAAATGGTTATTAAGAATCCTGAATAGCGGATTTGTTTTGTCAGTACCGGGTTTGTTTTTTTTTTCTTTCACGCAATGTTTGTCGAGTTTCACCAACATAAAGTATCCCCGCCATATTATTGTTGTGCCTATTCAAAGTTTTGAAAATATAATTGAGTGGTTATCGTTTGTTCATGTTTGTCATATGACTATGTAATTTGTTTTCCGATAAATTATGTCGTTTATTATCTCGTTTGAATTTTTTAGTTTTTTTGTCATTTCGGGTTTTTATACGTTATGGGTTTTGATCATTTGTGAAGGCCATGCAGTGACTTATAGTTGTTTACATACTTTTATTTTCACTTGACTTTCACATACACGTATGTGTTACTCGAAAACAGAAAACAGAAACACAAACAATTGAATAGTTACAAGTGTTAGCAAAAAGCTTATTACTAAAACATACCTGACTTATAGGTTTTGTTCAATCAATATGTTGGTTTCTGAGAAATTTCGTCGATATATTTGACAATAAAAGGAACTGCGAATTGCAAAAGTTCAAGCTGAGTTTTACCTAAGCCAATGTGTGAATATGAAGCAATTCAGAAGATAATTCAAAACAATAAAGCAAGTAAAGTGGAAGTGGACAATTAAATACATTTTTATAACTCCATTATAGCAACCGATTAAAAGAGCGGGAATGCTAGAAAAAAGAAACCATGGATAATGACAAGGGTAGTCTCATAGCAATGATCCCAGATAAGCATGTGCCATGTTCGCAACCTCATGCATGGATTATATTCCTCCCTATCACTCACCTTGAAGAACATGTTTATAGTTGCATAGATTTCTGCTGATTCATTTAAAACTAACAAATTACTACCAATATATAATAGATGTCTTCCAACACAAATATGTAGTTCTTTTCAAATGTCAATTTTTAACTAATGCATTTTTTCTTACAATAATGTTTTTGATATTCATAAATGTTAAGTTCAATGTATTGGTGATTATACGTCACACTGGCGGATACGCAGGGTTTATTTATTATTTTTATAAACTATATAAACATAAATCAAAATATGCAATGCAACTTATTGTTTTTCAACACCTTAAGCCGTGATAGTACAAAGTAAAAATATATCATCAAAGGTTTAACATCTTCGTTTAATTTAATATACAATATTGTTTCCAATTCATCTATTTTTTATGTGGTAGGAATCGAATCGTTATAATTAGTTTGTAGGATGACCTCATCGGGACAAGCTTTAATTGTAATTTGAACATTTCAAATAAAATCAAACACATGCGCCTCGTAATCACAGTTAGCAACTAGCAACTGCTTTCTTGATTTACTTATACAAAGTGATGTTGGATTGTTAAGACCATCTTTTGCATCCAATACTACTCTATTTTGTTTTCCATTAGGCGAGATAAATACAACATTCTGAGAGTTCATCCCTGCCACGTACACATTACCATCAGTATCAACAGCAATACCACGAGGATTTTTTAGAACGCTTTTATTTCGGAATGTCCATTGCAGTTTACCTTTTGAATCATAACATGCAACGGCATTTTCATTCTGATTTGAGTGATATATGTTGTCACCAAATGTTGCCGTGTAACAGTCGCTTGGCATTTCATCTCGGACTATGTCGGTAAAAGAGTTGTCCCGTGGATTTAGCATTTGTATGCCTTTGTTTTTACTGGAATATACTAATTTATTTCTTTTAAGTGATATGCCAAAATTAAACGATTCTAGTGGAATTGTTTGCTTAATTTGTTCTTTCTCAAAATCGATAATAGTAATGCACTTTCTCCTTGACGTACCAGATGTGACAGCGAATGTGTTGTCCGCCCTAATATAGACTATATCATATACGTTAGACGGGATCTTTATCTCAAAGACTTTTGATCCTTCGATGTTGAACACTTTAACGGTCTTTTCACAGAAGTAAGTAAACGTCAATCTACCATCCGGTAGTATGCAACACCCACAAATGTTTGTTCCTTGCATGTTTATTTGTTTGCTTATCTGCAGCTTTGCTTTTTCGACAGATCTTGATTCAACGGCTGGTACCAGTATCTGGGCTTGTTTCGTCTTCTTCCTACTAAGAGCAATATCGCACGGTTCAGTTTCTAAATATATTTCTCCAAAACTTTTGATATCGAACGTGACATTTTGAATAGCAGTGTTGATTTTATAGTTTAGAGCATGAAAATTCAAAGCCTTGCCTTGGATAAGTGAATGCAGGATATTGTCTTTGCTCATTACGTTTTTTTCTATTTGCTTAATTGATAGAAACAGCTGTAAGTCAGTTGCATGTTGTTTAATGGTTGCAATGTTTTTCTGATATTTGTCTATTTCTTTTTCTTGCAGTTCTAATGATGACAACAACTGACGAATTTTCGAGTTTTCCTTGTTTTCTAATGCATCATATTGTTTTATGAAATCGTCTTGTAGCTTGTCGAGGTGTTTAATGATTCTTCTTCTGGTCTCTTTCATTTCTTTCTTAAATTCTTTTCTTTTCTCACCCAAAGTCAACAGATTGGCTTGTTGATGTTGACGGATTTTCTGTAAATTTTCGGTTACTTCAATCAATGTTTCCTCAATCTCGTAGAAGCCCTTTGAAGTTTTGACATTTTGAATTACGTCATCCAAATTGTCGATATCATGGCATTTTGTATGGCTTTCAACTATACATTGACTGCAGCATGGAAGTTCGTGCTTTCGGCAATAAAGTATAAATTTGTCTTTGTGTGTGCTGCAGTATCGAGAGATCATAAGTACTTCACTAGGTATTTTATGGTATTCCGTTATTGATATGGTCTTATGGTTTCTGGATCCTTTGGACAAACTATGGTGTTCCAGGCATTCTTCACATAGTCCTTCTTCACATTCTACACACCAGACTATTAATGGTTTGTTGATATATCGGCGATCACATACACCACAACTTTGAGAGGATGAGGCCATATATGACAAAACTACAAGATAATAAATATATGATAAATAATCAAGGGTTTAGAAAACGCACTACCTAAGTTTTTAGGTGATGTTGTTTATTGAACCCGTAAATTAAGATACGGTCCTGGGTAAACTTATTTATTCTTTGAATAATCCTATTCTAATAGGTATTTAATTTAACAAATGAATGTAATTGGATCTTTGTATAGTGTGTTTAACGGAATCAATATTGATTCTGATTTGTACAACGATCAGGTCGTTTGTTTTTATCATTGGAATTGTTGTTCACTTGTCATTCGAGGCTTGTTATAGCGTGCTGTGCGGTATAGGTTTTGCTGATTGTTGAAGGTCGTACGGTGACTTACCGTTGTTAACTTCTACGTCATTTGGTCTCTCGTGAAGAGTTGTCTCATTGGCCATCATATCTCATCTTTTATTAGAGGTATATAGAACATTTCATTTTAGTTTACCTAAGATGGATCCTTTTGAGTTTTATGCTCAACCTATGATGAGTATTTTATATTTTTGTGGTCTGTACGGTTGTCCGTTCGTCCGTCTCATACCAGATTTAAAACTTTTACATTTTTTACCAATTGAGGATTTTGATTCGGGTTTATATTCATCAACTAAACATGGCAATGTGATACTGTGAGGTGACAGAGTTTCATAGGAGCACACTTTGTTTTGTTACAAAAGGTTTACCTGTCCAGGTATGTGTATCTTCAATATTCATTATATATAAAAAATGTGGTATGATTATCAATGAGACAACTCTCCACAAAAGACCAACTGACACAGAAACTAACAAGTATAGGTCACCGTACGGCCTTCAACAATGAGCAAAGCCCATACCACATAGTCAGCTATAAAAGGCCCTGAAATGAAAAATGTAAAACTATTCAAACGAGAAAACTAACGGCCTGATTTATGTACAAAATAATGAAAGAAAAACAAATATGATATACAGCAACAAACGACAACTTCTGAATCACAGGCTCCTAACTTGGGACAGGCACTTACAAAATGTGGCGGGGTTTAACATGTTTGGCGGATGCCAAACCCTGGCCCTAACCTGAGACAGAGGTGCAACAACACAGCACACTAACACACTGTACAAAACACTGAACAAATAACAAATCTGATATACAGAAACGAAAAAAGAAACCACTGAATAACAGGTTCCTTACTCGGAACAGGCACATACAAAATGTGGCGGGGTTAAACATGTTAGTGGGCGCCGAACCCTACCTCTAAACTGGGACAGTGGTGTAACAGTACAACATATGAACAAACTATAAAAAGCAGGAGAAAAGGGCTAATTCATCAGATTGTTACAAAGCAAAAACAAGTAACAAAAACACAGAGTAGATGTGGCAGGGTACTTATACATCCAAACAACAAACAGACGATAAGTACAGATCTGAGAGTACTCGCAGTTGCTGACAGCTAACTGAAAGTCAATAACAACTAATAAAAAAATCATGCATCTAAGACTAAACTATCAATCAGTTCACATCCAAAATCCAGCGGATTTAGTGTAAAGACGTCATAAACAGTCAGAGAAAAGCATGACCTTGTGCATTGCCAAGATACAAGTATCGACAGATTGTAGAGCCATGAATATGCATATGTACACAACAATAATATGCAGTTTGGTTTTAATTTACTGATAACAAAATAAATATTAATACCAATAAAAACAATATTTAAAGATCTAATTACAGTGTTGAATTGGTAACCTTTCAGAATAAATTTATTTAAAGGATCGATAAGTTTACCCGGATCGTACATAAATTTCCGGACTTGGTTAACAACATCACCGTAAAATTTAGGATGTGCTATTCCTGTTGAAATAAGTCTTGTATTGGTACAGCTAAACTTACAAACCAAATCTTTGTATTCATGGAAGAATTTAGTAAAGGTTTTAAGTAATTTGTGTTAACGAAATCCCTGACTTAATAATTTACCAGTAGTACATAGATTACGCTCATTGAAATCCAAAACGTCACTACAGACACTGGCAAAACGAACGAGTTGGGATATATAAACACCGTAAGATGGTGCCAGAGGAACATCACCGTACAAAAAAGGAAAATTAACAATTTGTTGTAAATTTTAGTGTAGAGTTTCCCATGTGAAACCGAATATCTAAATCTAGGAAAGGACAGTTACTACCATTTGTATTTGATTTATTTAGAGTAAGTTCCTTTGGGTAAATTTCGGCAGTATATTTAGAAAATTTATGATTATTAAACGAAAAAATATCATCAAAATAACGGTAAGTGTAATTAATACATTGATTACGCTCATTGAAATCCAAGACGTCACTACAGACACTGGCATAACGAACGAGTTGGAATATATAAACACCGTAAGATGGTGCCAGAGGAACATCACCGTCAAAATAAGGAAAATTAACAAAAGGGAAAGAAAAACCATCCCTATATCTGATGCGGTAAGGGTTTTGCTCATTGTTGAAGGCCGTACACTGACCTATAATTGTTAATTTCTATGTCAATTGGTATGTTTTGGAGAGTTGTCTCATGGGCAATTATACCAAATCTTCTTATTTTTATATTATGGACTTTTTAATTTTTTCATATATAACGGGGGGAGGGGGGCAATTGTTATGCCATATTCACCTCGAATTTATTAAATTCTACATAAACCAAAAAATTCTTGCGCCTTTTTTATATTCCTGTGTCAGAACTTCTGTTATATCAATACGTCTTTATAGTATAAAGATGTATCATTATGATATAGTTATCTGTCAAAATAGCATAGTGAGATGTATGTAAAGGTGGCTCCATATTATATCAAGATGTCTTTGTAGTATAGGACTTTATCGTCTCAAGACAGTAATTTGACAGAATAGTATGAAAAAGTTTGTTCATGTTATATCGAGATGATTGTACAATATCCTGATATCCTTCAACAAAGGCCCCGAAATGACAAATGTAAAACAAATCAGACGAAAAAACTAACGACCTGATTTATGTACAGAACAGAAAACAAAAGACAAATATGATATAGAGCAACAAACAACAACCACTGAAATACAGGCTCCAGTCTTGGGACAGGAACCTTCAAATGTAGCGGGGTTAATCATGTTTGCTGGCGCCAAACCACTCTCTAACCTAGGACAGTCGTGTAACAGTACGACATAAGAACAAACTATACAAATCAACAGAAAATGGCTTAACTTATTAGATCGATAAAAAGTTCATTTAAACCTAATAAAAACACATTAGAGTACAGATCTGTGAGTACTCGTAATTACTGAAAGATAGTACAGAGCCAATAAATGCAAATAGAGTTATTCATGTAACTAAGACTAAAATATCAATCAGTACACATCCAACATCCCCAACGGATTTAGTATAAAGACGTCAATAACAATCAGAGAAAAACATGACATTGTGCAATGCCATAATATAGGTATCGACAGATTGTACAACAATGAATATACATATGTGTATAACAATACAATTTAGTTGGGTTTAATTTCCGATAACAAAATACATATTACTAACGATCAAAACAATATTCAAAGATCTAATTACAGTGTTGAATTGGTAACCTTATAGAATAAGTATATCTATAGGATCGATAAATTTGCCTGGATCGTATCTAAATGTACGGGCTCGGTAAACAACAGGATTGTAAAAATAAGAATGTGGCATATCCCGTTTGAAATATGTTTACTACAGGTATAGCTAAATATGGAACCAAACACTTTGTATCTATGTATGGAAGAATTTAGTAGAAGTTTTAAATAATCTAACGAAATCCTTGACCTAATCATGTACAAGTTATACATAGATTGCATTCATTGAAATCCAAAACGTCACTACAGTCACGGGCATAGCGAACGAATTTTGATAGTTAACACCGTAAGATGGTGTCAAAGGAACACCATCGTCCAAAAAAGGATAATCAACAATAGTAGGAAAAATCGTGCTTTTTTGTTGTTATTTTGGATGGATAGAGTTTCCCGTGTAAAACAAAATATATCTAAATCTAGATAAGGACAGTTATTGCCGTTTAAATTTTATTCTATTTAAAGTAAGTTCTTTTTTGGTAAATTACGGCAGTATATTTAGAAAATGCTTGGTTCTTTAACGAAACTTTATTGTCAAGATTTTAGGTAAGTGTTGTTGAATTTGTCAATTGAATGAAATTTATACGGGTATTTACTGTGTTTGACCATAAACTGTGATTCATAACAGTACACGAACATGTCTGCTGCTGCAATAAGTGTCCATTATAAGAATACCTACTACCTGTCAATGAACTTTATCGCCAACAGTAGAAAACAGCTCCAATCAAAAATGTAAGTAACATGTGTATAAAAGCATCGCTCAATGTTCTCAGAAGAATAAAGTCTTATATCAAAAGGTAAACAAACTTCAAAGTTTCATACTTCTATTTAGAGTACATCTATAATGTGATTTTCAGCTTGGTATTTTTAGACACAAAATGTCTTAAAGATCTTAAAAAACTGGAAAAAAGTACAATTAGATTTATTACGGGATTTGTACTAACATGACGGGTGCCACATGTAGAGCCGGATCTGTTTACCCTATCGGAACATCTGAGATCACCCCCAGTTTTTTGTGGGGTTTTGTTGCTCAGTCTTCAGTTTTCTAAGTTGTGTTTTGTGTACTATTGTTTGTCTGTTGGTCTTTTTCCTTTTTAACCATGTCGTTGTCAGTTTATTTTCGAGTTTGAGTGTCCATTTGGTATCTTTCGCCTCTCTTCTATAAGGAATAGCTCTCTTGTTTGTGTATGGAGACTGTATTTTATCCCTTGAACATCTTTCAACTCTTCGGGAATACGGAAAATGTTTAACATTTTACGTGAGATGCATATGGACAATTTCACTTGGGCCCATAACATCTTGATATATTTGGCTTTCACTATGGTTACAAAATTTGCTTAATATTAAACATTCATAATACTCTTGTAGATACAGTAAAAACTCGTTTGCCTGTCTTTGGAATAACTTACCAGG